TCAATCTTGGAAATAAAAACAAAACAAGAAAAAAATAATCAACAAGATTTCCATAATTGCATCTTAATACTTCCTTCGTCCCAAAAATATTATCTAATTTGAGTTTTTATTTTTATTACAAATTGAACTAAAAATGAAAATCCAAACTGGACAAAACTTTTGAGATGGAGGGAGTACTAATTACTGGTATCTAATTCATCAGCAAGATCCATACTAACTAATGAAGTTAATTGAGGGACAAGCAATCTGTATGGCAATTAATAGTATTTAGGGGCTAATGCATTGAGAATGAAACCTGGAAAGCAGCAGTTGTTGAACCAAAGACAAAACCTTTGTCGGAATTTGGTCGCCGGAGCAATGACATAGGACCTCCCGGTAAGATTTTACTCTCTATATCAAACTAGTGGAAAATGTAAATAGGTCGCCGGCAGCCTACAAAATAATTTAACAGAATGATGGAAGATCGAAGATATGACGACGGATGCTGTGTTTTCAGCTTTGGTGTTGTTTGCTAGCTTGGGATGCATAACCCAATTTATAGGCAAAGAGAAGGCGATGGAAATGGCCCGGAATTTCATCTTTGAAATTGAAGGAACACCACGCTCTCCACGTTACATTTACACAATCAATTTGTAGTATTTTTTTTTTATGCAGTATTAATCTTAATTAGCAGTTGACTTGAAGAGTGAATATTCACTAAATGTGGAAGTGCAACAAAAAACAGAGATACGATACTGCCTAAAACATTACCATTTTGGATGATCCAAAGAATTAAGCCTGAGGTTATTTTTTTAGTACAATGAAAGAGGCCAAAATCTAAAATTTTAAACTATCATAATAGAAAAAATTCACTGTCGACATCAAGTTTCACAATCCTCCAGTAGTCACGTTGTAATTTCACGACCTTATTCTTATGCAAAGACTTTTTGATGGCTCGACTAAATTTAATCGAGTCAATCCCTTGAACATTTAGTACAATGCTACTCATGAAAAATCCAAATAGATAAAGTGGATTATATTAACAAATATAACCGAGATATTTTGTCTTGTCTTTTTCTAGGTTTGTAATTTCATACTCGTATATACACAGTACTTTAATTCGATTACATCACCAGAGTCAAATTTAAATTCCATCCAAGTAGTAACATATATTTGTAAAAGCTCAGAAGAGTTAATTGCAATCCGTTCGTTGATGCATTGAAGTTTGAAGATGTGTTATTAAGAACTGACGATATTTTTCGTCGTCTTCTTCCAGTTGCGTACATTTATTTTGTGAGTTGCCGGGTCCTCATCTAATTATTAACATGAACTACCACTAGTCCACTCCCTCTAAATTTGAATTTATATTTATATATATATATATATATATATAAAAGGGAAACATAAATAAAAAAACTAACGCAACTAGCATACAGATATTCGTAAAGTAGTAGTAGTATTTATTGTGATTTAAACTATACTTCAATCCACATTTCAAATTGAACCCTTCTTTTATGAACTGTAGGAAATATTGGTGTATGTTTGCTGAACCAAAGACAAAATCTTGGCCGGAATTTGATGGAGGGATGAAGGCCACCGGACCTCCCGTTAAGATTTTACTATCACACATCGCCAAGGTCACCCTGTTGTACTGTATATTTAAGATAAATATAAATTGATACTACAAATTAATAATGGAGTGGCAGGAAGAGACGATGCGATCGAGTCTGTATAACTTTTAAGCAAAGAGAGAAAACGAGGGAAATGGATTGTGCATTCATCTTTGAAAGGAAGGTTATTCATGATTTAATCACCTCAAAAAAAAAATAATAATAACAAATGAAGGGTAACTATAATCACAACGTAATTGCACGTTACATTTTGTAAGCAATTGAGTTTGATTTAAAGTATTATTGATGAATTAATTAATTATGTATAAAAAGATATGCCAACCACATGAAATTCCGATAAAGACTGTATTTAAGCATCTTCAAGGCACTTATGAAGGAAGTAATCAACTACTCCTTATCTCCTAACAAATACAAGAAATTCATTTTCCCTAATGGCAGTAGAAGAGCATAAATAATTAGAGGTTGACACAAATTAATCAAGTACGCTTTCCTGTCACCATCATCTCCATCATTAAACTTCCATTCTAAATGTGGGAAGATATTCTAGACTTTGATGGCCTGAAGAAATGTATATTATATACATATTGTTAGCATAATTTTAGGGATGTGATTGGTAAATTAGATTGATTTGATTTGATCTGGTAATTAATGTCATTATATGATTAGATTTAGGACAAGACATGTTATCTTGTACAAAATAGGCCAATATACAAACTCAATAGACACACAATATTTCTCCCAATCTTCTGATTTAGTCTGTCAGTTTAATTCGGTTGTCTGTTTGATTCGATTTCAACTAATATGGATTATTCTATTTTTGTTAACACATATCAACGCTAAAAAAGGCCTTTCATCAAACTTATATTTTTACTATCACTGTAGTAAAATAATTGTCATATTTATTGTACGTTCTTGATATATTAAGATGTTTTATTTATTGAATCTCTGTATTAAAATTTTTTCTGATGTGTATCGATCACATCACAACAGAGAATCCTTGTTTACAAAAGTCCTCTTCATGTAATTATGTAATTGTAATGCAGGTTTTCAAAAGCAAATTAATCTAATAACTTCAAGAGCTCGTAACAATTTTATTTTATGCGCCGACAAGATACACATTATGCAGGCCTTAACTAGACTAGTTAAGACTGGGATTTGTTGGTTGCACTTGCAACATTATGCCAAACTTAATTGAACTAAACTGAAAGTAATATACTATCCATTGTTACGAAATACTGGTGAATGGAGTACATTGTTCACATACTATTACTGAAACTAGAATATGCGTTGCATGTATTATGTTACATGTATTACGTAATATTGTGAAATTATAATTATAAGTGAGCTCGGTGTTATTGTTGTAATATGATAAAGTTTATGTTGGATTTTGTTATATAATAATTATTGTCCGTGTTTTATTGTGTAAATTACATTCACTTTATATATATATATATATATATATATTTCATATTCAAGATAGTGTAAAGATAAAATGTTAGTATGACTCATTCATAATAAAATTTTAGCCGATAGAATCGATAATAAATTTGTGTAATTTCGTAAATTTTCACAAATAAATTTAGTTAACTCGGAATGAAAGTTTTAGTCAACTCAAAGAAAATGTAAAGATATATAATATTTTATACAACATCTCTTTAGTAATATTTTTTTTGTTAGATTTTCCTGAAAAATACAACATTTTATACATATTTGATGGTTTTTCATCTACTGAAATAAATTTTATAATTTTTGTAAAAATAAATTCTACCACAGTGAACTTTGCTTAAAAGTGTGTGGGAAATCCTTCTTAACAACCAATAAAAAAAAGTTAAAAATAATAATTGAAAAAGAATTTTTTATTAATTAAGTACATAAATATATATATATGAAACTTAATATATATGGGTGAAATGTATAGGTGAAAAGTAAATTGAAACAAAAAAAAAAAAATTAACAATTTAATGAAAAAAGGTCATTGGCGTTGACACGTGTAAAAAAAAAAAACTCTGAACTTGACATATGATAAAAGAAAGATCTGAACTGTCTAATTGAACGACACGTGTCGATTGAAAAGTTTCCTTTGTAATATATAGTATAGAATATATAATAGTATGAGATAACAGTCTTTATATCTTCCTAATAAAGAAAGAGAATTAGTAAGAGTATACAATCAATTGCATATTGGAACAGGGGAAAAAATAAAGTGAAGAATGAAATAGATCTCTTAAGATATGTTCCATACAAATGCTCCTTAGCACTGTTGATTGAATTGAATACAATGTTCACTCATCAATGCAGATTTCCTAAGTTTCTAGTCCTTTTTTTAGTTCTTCAACTTTTCTGGTAGCTGTTTTCCATTGCTCTTCTTCAGTTCTTCATTCTTTCTGTTTGCTTCCAGTAGCTGAGTCTCTAAGGACATGGATTTGTCCTTCTCTTTCTGCTTCCAACTTCAATCTTTAATTCAAATAATTTCGTACCTCTTCTCTTAATTTCCAGTTCTCTTCTCTCAGCTTCTTTATTAAATCCAAATTAAATTAATACAAAGTCAGGCTCAGTCTATGATCGTCAATCGTGGACAAACTAACTTCAGTTTCAGGGTATGTCTTCTAGCTTCTTTCACTATCTTTGTGACTTCTGTCAATGTGATTTCCCATGATCATGCTGCTAATGGCTACAGATTGACTTGCTGACTGAAACATTTTTGAGGAAATTTTCCTCTCTTAAATCAGAAACGAACATTATAACTTGACATCAACACACCGTTTTTGTCCAAAATTAAATCTATATCTCTTTCATATTGTATCTCTAGACTCTAATCTTCGCGTATTCCATACTTTTAATGTAATGGTATTGCATGCAACGAGAATTACGAAGAAAATTTATAAGAAACATCGAACCCTCTTTCATAATCTTAAATGTATTAATCCTAAAAAGAAAATATTAAAAATGAATAAATATGATCATATCTTGGCAATTTTTTCTTGTAAAATTTCCTACATCTATCATTAATTATTCTTTTTCATAACCAATGTTATTTCCTACTATCTTGTTAGTTGCATGATTTTCAACCTTCATTTTTATGTACTCCCTTCATTTTTATCTTGTTATGTACTCTTAAATGGGGTAATAAAATTACTTGAATATCCTCAATCAACCCTATTATAAGATTGTCCACCAATAGCATCAACTCTTTTGAGGGTAATTTTGAAAATTTTTGACAAAAAGTGCATTAAAATGTGAGAAGGATACTTATTTTGGAATTTCTCCATTTTGCTAAAATAACACTTATTTTGGAATGGAGGGAGTAACAAAGTTTGAGAATCGCTATAATCACAATAAACAAATATGTATTCATTTTAAAAGAGACACATTGGTTTCCAGGCACGGGGTCCAAAATCTGACATATGGCCCAGAAAACTAGAGTCGTGTGCCGGAGCCCCGGAAGGCGTCCGAACAAAGAGGTCAATTTGTTTTCTTTGTTGCTTTTTCCACTTTTTTTTTTTAAAAAAAAAAAATTAGCGGGATACAGAGTGGATCGAACACACATATCTTATGCATACCTCCTGAGTTTCCGTGCTGAATTAGCTAGCCACAATCACATTAGAAAAGCATGAAGAAAAGCTCCATCTGATTTCTACTTAATCTATGCTTTAGAAGTGAAAAAATAAAAAAGAAGAAGGTTTTGCTCAGGTGAAAGTTGATCCAAAATTATCGAAAATTTTCCTACAATTTTTGAACAGTGAGTATGATTACTTGGATTGGGAGAGTATTGGTTCTTCTGGTTTTAATCCCGCGAAGTTATGGTTGGGGGAGGGAAGGCCATTATGCTACCTGCAAGATTGCTGAGGTGAAGTTCCTCTCTTTTTACGTTTCTCAAGTAAAGATTTGATTTTTTTTGTTTTCTTTTTCACTTTGGAATGGAATGAGGTCGATTTAGGCGTTATGCCGTTCTGCATTTGCTGTTGGTGAACTTTATATTTCTTTCCTTTTAAGTATTTTGATGATGAGTTGATGAACTGTAAGGAGTCCATGTGTGCTCAATTTTTGTTGCATTTACACCAAAGAATCCAGTTTTTTATTAGTTAATTGAATACTAAGATTTTGGGAGGATGCTTGATTCAGTCAGTTCTTCAGATGACAAGTATTTGCTCTTAGATGAAGAGGGGTTTTCTATTTAGATTTGTCAAATTTTGTTTGATTGGAGCTATATGGGCAGAAGAAAGTACAATAATGGAAAATCATGTCTTAAGTGACCTTTGCTTTTGGCAATCTACTTCAAATTTGTTTGCTCTGCATCAGGGATATCTTTCTGAAGATGCAGTGGCAGGAGTTACAAAATTGCTTCCCCTCCATGCTGAAGGTGAACTTGCGGCTGTTTGTTCCTGGGCAGATGAAATCAGGATCCACCATCGGTGGAGTGGTGCTTTACATTTTGCTGATACGCCCGATTTTTTGTGCAACTACAGTTACTGCAGTAAGTTCCATTGTTTGCCTGGATTTTTTTGTAGCCTCTTATTATTTAAAATTTACATCACCCACACAACATTGAGGTAAAATGCAAAAGTGGTAGCTCCGTTTCAAGGTATTGTATGGTTTTACTATTTCATGTTGCTATTCATTTTTGCATGTATGTAAGAAATGGCTCCTTTCAAAGCATTGTCCACCTTTATCACACTTATGTACCTTTGAGGTTAACTTTTTGAATCGCCCCTTGAGTAGAATTACTCTATTGTACTTAAAGGGAATTGGTTCTTATTTCTCATTACCTCATGAAAGAAAGGCCTAATGCAATTAAGCCATAGGCAAGGAGAGTGTGCTGTGTTGTGTTCTCGTGAATTGGATGTGTTATGACGGATCTCCTTTCAATAGTCCTTGGAGAATTAAGGAGAATGCATGATTGGAAAAGTATTGTTCTGCAGAGTGAATGGCATTTAATTTTTAACTTAGATTCTTGGACCATGCTGAAATACAGACATTAACCAAGTAATTTTATTTTTTCATTCCCAGTATTAGTCTTTCCTCACTTGTGTCTTTTCCGATGATGAGAATGTGCTATGCGATTTAGGTGGTATGAACATGTTTATAATGCTTTCCGAACTCCAAAGTGAACTGTCTCAAAACTTTAAGCAAAAGAGGTTTTAGACAAAGTCTCTGACATAATAAGATTGACTTCTTACAGAAAACATCTCAATTGCATCTCTTAGAATGTTAACTTTCTTTTTCTCTATTCTGAAGGAGACTGCCATGACTCTGCACAGCTTAAAGACCGATGCGTGACTGGTGGTATATACAACTACACAAAGCAACTCAAGTTAGGTCCAGATTCAGGAATTACATGTAAGTGTCTTGTCACTAGTTATTATCTTGATTATGATATTCTAGATGATGCGTAAGCTAGACTTTCCCTATAACAGACAACTTGACGGAGGCACTCATGTTCCTGGCACATTTTATTGGTGATGTTCATCAGGTTAGCTAAGCTCTCCTTGTCCTTTATAAATGAAAGGTTTTCTGGGAGTTTGGATTAACCCAAGAATTTTTTTAAGGACGAAAGAACTAGTGCTACTTCATTAAGCATTCAGTGAAATTTTGAAGTCCATGTCTGCTACAATATGTGATTTCATGAAAGTATAGCGTTCTTATTGGAGTGAAACTCTTTGCCGGACCTCCTTTACTGCTGCAAAATGGGAAATTCCATAGGAGCCAATATCGGAGCTATAGCATAGCGGGCAACACCATTAAATCATCTGATACTAATAACTACATTATTGCAATATGAAGCTTGCATGTTATTTACATATTGGGATGTATCATATCTTTTAAATCCACTTTTATGTGAAGAAACCTTCATTTTTGGATATGCATGCTGCTAGATATTTTGTTCTGCTTGCAAAATTCAGAAGCTGATTTTGGTTTGTGATGCAGCTTTCTTGTCCTTTTTGTATGTATGTAGTTTGTGTCTCTTTCTTGCTCGACAGCAATGCATTCACCTTTGTCTGATGGGAATAATTATTGCAGCCTCTCCATGCTGGCTTCCTTGGAGATTTAGGAGGAAATGGTGTAACTCTTCAGTGGTACAGTCAGAAGACCAATTTGCACCGAGTAAGTACTTAGACCTTAATGGTGCATTTTTTTTCTTATTTCTTTCTTCTATGCTCTTTTATCTAATATTAATGGTTGAAGATATTATCAACATCCTGATCATAGATATGCATTTAAAGTTGCATAAATGATGTTAGAATCTTGACCTTCAGAGAAATTAGGGACACCTCGAAGTTCAATTTGTACCAGATTCATAACTTTTGACTAATGTAGAAATGTGTTCAATAAGTTCAGAAATGGAATAAGAATGAAAGAAATAAGCTGCTTTAAGAAGCCAAATTCTTTATTTTCATCTCGCTTCGTGCTTTTTCAGGTGTGGGACGATATGATTATTGAATCAGCTCTAAAAACTTATTATAACGGAAATCTCATGACTATGATTCGATCAATTCAAGAAAATATGTTGGTATGTTATCTTCATTACTATTTTGGAGGAAAGTTTTGCATACCATGACATGTTCTGTAATACTTTACTCATGTACAATCTTGTGTCATAAATTAAGATCATACATCTAAAAGGTCTCAGTTGGTATACTCTTTTGGTGTTATTTAATTACTTTCTGCAGTATAATTCAAGGTTCTTGGCACATTGACTTCCACAATTTTGAATTTCCAAATTAGACTAATTTCTAGTTTGGCTAACCTCTATGACCAAGTCAGCAAGTATTATGCTGGCAGGCTCTTTTCGGTGCAAACCAAATGCAGTAATGGGTATCAATGCTTGTTGTTTCCTAACATTGACAGAATGATGATTTTGATGATATCTCATCCTGGGACAGTTGCGATGCCACCGTTTGTCCAGATACGTATGTCCTTATCCTCCTCAAATCTGTGGATTGCAGAATCATGGCATGCTATGACAATGTCTACTCTCTGACTTCTTTTCTGTTGTTTTTTTATGCAAGCATGGAAGTAAGGTAAAGAGAAATAAAAAGAAAGTAAGATAACCAAAGCTTTTGATGATAAAAGTTTTATCTACTTGGCGTTTTTTGTGACAAATCCGTAGAGTGGATACTTGGCAAAATCCCCTTGGTTATCTCTATGAACTGACTTAAATTACCGTCATACACAGACACAGATCATGAGAAACTTAATTTCCCTTCTCCACTTGAATTTGATTTCGCATAATTGTCCTGTCAATATAAGTAGATGACATATTACTTTTGCAGATATGCTTCTGAAAGCATAAACTTGGCCTGCAAGTTTGCCTACAGAAATGCTACTCCAGGAAGCACTCTTGGAGGTAACTATTTCATTTCATTTAATATACGTAACAGCTTTGCCATCTGGTTGTTCTTTAACGCATTTGTGTACATGCATATGATCTAGAAACATAGAATCACACAGACTGCATATACCATTTACTTAGAATTCTGTGTATAACAAGACATAAGAAGATGCTAATGTTGAGTCGTCATCCAGCAAAATTACTATAGTTTTCACTCGTCACACTACACTGCCAGTTCTTGCGTCTTTGAGCCATCACAAGTGCTCAAACTTAGGATTTGCACATTTCAAGCCGTGTGTTTTGTCACAGATGATTACTTTGTCTCTCGGTTGCCTATTGTGGAGAAGAGATTGGCTCAAGGTGGCGTACGCTTGGCAGCTGTTCTCAACCGTATTTTCAATTCGAGCCTTCCAATTGCAACAGAATGAAAGATATTGACAAGGGAAAATACTCCATCAATGGTAGATGACTAGATGCTATGTGGCCTTCATTCAAGTTGGGAACTTGATGGAGTGTCAAATCCACACAAATAAATTAACCTACTTCAAACTACTGTAATATAGGGAAGTAAGGTCATCTCCTCAGGGAACGATGGATTGTTTCCTTCAAATTAATGCAAAGGAGATTTTTGGATTGTTTTTCTAAACTAAAATAATGAAATTCAAATAACAAAAATAAATAAAAGAAAAGAAATCCAAGTAACAAACAACTGATCCAAAAGACGGACAACTCAATTATTTCACTGATCATAGGTCAAAAAAAAGGCATTCTTATATTCAAATATTCAACCCCCAAATTTATTAGGATAGCCTTAACAAATTCAGACTTCTCTAAAAACATCGACCAAACCCAGCATTCAATCAAATCTTGCTATGACAGACTGGGCACGATAGCGTTCCATGTCTAGCCACAACAGCAATACACACAAGATCTAGTTGAACCAAAACCAATTAACAGAGATAGCTACAATTAATTAATTTTGTCTTGTTGATTCCACATTTAAACTAGCATATGTATCCTATGTCTCACTAATACACATATTCGTCTAATTGCTACCTAGTGCCAATGGTTCGTGTCTATTACGTAACATTCAACCAATGAATAGCAAAAGAAAGTAAAAATCAAATCAAGTTGTCAATTTGAATGAAATCTACCTTCATGAAATAAAACCAAGAATCAACAAATACAAGAATTAAACGTAAGAAAGATAAATTAAAGCATAACCTCACAATGAAACAACTGAATTAATCCCTTGAATCAGTAACAAAAGGTTTAGTTACTCATAATCATGGACATGATAGCTAATTTATTCATAGAAAAATAGTACCAAGTCTAGAAGAATTGAAAACCCGGGAGAAACGGAGACAGCCTTGACCTCCGAAGCCAAAAGAGAAAAAATTTCGAACTAGAAAACGACGGCCGTGCGATGAAGTGAAAAAAGGATGGCCAAAACAAGAAAACATACGGCCTTACATAGAATTAGGTCAGCCGTATGCTGCCAAAAGTTAAACAACAAATTGCAGCATTGGTCCTTCCACTTCCAACTCTCTTTCAATTTAGCCCAAACTTTCTTCAATGATAAAATTCAGTCCATAAAGTTTCTTATTAGCAGCTTCTTCTCCCAACAACTTCAATACTTTGTAATTAGGTCCATCATTGGAGTGAACTTCTTCCTTTGCTCAAGTTGGATGATTTTTTTCAGACTCTTTTTGTATCAATTAGCTCCAAAAAGTTGTAAACTCCGATTCCCAGCTCCTAACACAAAACATTAATAAAACTTAATGAATTAAAACCATCCAAGTCCATAAACTCATAAAATAATAACAATTAAAGCATAATTTATGGACTCTATCAGAACTCCCTTGGCAGTATAAACCATGTCACTCCTCCAATAATAATTCCAACTTTGGGGTCTGTTATAGCATATTCTTGAGAGCAACGAAGTCTAACAAACCAGACTTCGCTCTCAGGCCTGTCAAACCAACATTTTTTAATTCTTCACTCAATGAAGCATAAGCTGATCCATGTTATTTTGACTAATTGTTGTCCCATAAACGAGACAATCACCTTGGACAGAGAGAGTATATAGTCAATGTTTAAACAAGTACTAATAGTCCACATTGAATTTTTAGATTTGTACTTTGTAGTATAAATTTCAAAACTTAAAGCGGATTATTTGTAGACTTTTTCAGTGTAAGCATAGATTAGACTTAAAATTAATTAGTGGTAATGTCGGAAGGTTCGTATCTGAATGTGTACCCTTTTGACAATTTCTCTTTTCATTTCTTTTCTATTTTTATTTTTTAAAAAAAGGAAACTCAAGACAAAATTTACCTCTTCATGCATTAAACTAATTTTGTAGGACTGAAAATGACTCTTCAAAAGTCAAAAGACTCAAACTTGATCAGTTAAGAGTGGCATATAAATGTTCAGGACATTTTATGTGGAATTGTGGATCAAACTTGCTCTCTCCATGGATGAAGATCCTTCATTTGATCAGCTTTTTTTTTTTTTTCTTTTATCATCAGAACAAATCCAGGGACCATAGGGCACAAAAATTAGTGAGAATTTTTCAAAGCAACTCTCAATCACTATTCAGGGTAAAATTTTACTAAGGTTTCGGATGATGATTCTAAATGCCGTCCTAAATAAATCATCTTAGTTATATACATCACCTATTTTGCTGATTCAAAGCCATCCAGGGATCCCATGTCAACCACCAAATAAATCCACAACTGGGGAAACCATGTTCCATTTGATCTTGTCAATTCTTATGCTACTATATATAGATCATGTTTCTTGTCTCTGTCCTGTAACTCAGAAAGAGGGAGTTTAATAAGGCAAGAAGAAGTCAATAATAATAACATTTATGGCTTCCACTTCCTGGAACCTGTTTGGATTCTTCATCCTCTTCTTTCTATCCTTCTTTTCAACTACTTCTTCTTGTCCTGATTATCAAAAGCAATCCCTTCTCCAGTTGAAGTCCCTCCTCCTCAAAGGTAACACAACAACTAGCTTCTTAGAATCATGGAATTCCACTTCCGATTGTTGTCATTGGGAGAGAGTCATTTGCTCCTCCATCGCCCCGTTTATGATCGTTGAATTGCATCTTAATCTTCTACCTGCACAAGAAATCCCAAGTCTTTTCGCCATGTCTCCCTCGGTTCTGGCTCCCGTTTTTCATATAACCTCCCTAACGTTGCTCGACATCTCCATGAATTTTTTCCAAGGTGAAATTCCAGCTCAAGGTTTGGCCAACCTCACCAATTTGGCCTATCTTGACATGAGTTCTAACTCATTCAATGGTACCATTCCCCCACAGCTTTATCACTTGAATAACCTCAGCTATCTTTCCCTGTCGCATAACAGGATTTCGGGTGTTTTGAGTCCTGACATTGGGTACTTAAGAAGAAGCCTCATCAGGTTAGATTTGAGTGGCAATTATTTTCTTACTGGAAACATCCCTGAGGAGATTGGAAACCTCACCAAATTGAGCTATCTAGACCTTTCCTTCAATGGCTTGTCTGGTGGAATTCCAGCGTCAATTCTGAACTTGGCACAACTTCAATACCTGGATTTGACCAGTAACCAACTATCACTACAGATTCCAGCAGAGTTAGGTTATTTGTCTAACCTATTGACTTTGAATTTGAGAAGCAACAAGTTCATTGGTGAAATACCATTGTCATTGTTCAATTTGACACAACTTCAAATCCTGGATTTCAGCGACAATCAAATTTCATCTCAAATTCCAACAAATATAGCACAGTTGCCTAATTTGTCTAGTTTGGATTTGAGCAACAACATGTTTAGTGGTGGAATTCCCCAGTCCATACAAAATCTAAGCAAGTTAGCGACTCTTTCTTTGAAAGACAACTTACTTACAGGAGAGATACCATCTTGGTTGCTCGATATTAAGACGCTTGCCACTTTATTTCTCGGAGGGAATAAATTGACTTGGAAACAGAACAATTCTATGATAGTACCCAAGTGCACACTATCATATCTATCTTTAAGATCATGTGGTTTAACAGGAGAAGTGCCACAATGGATTTCATCCCAGAAAGGTCTTCAATATTTGGATTTGAGCAATAATGAGCTTCAGGGAACACTTCCATTTTGGCTAATAGAGATGCAACTTGTATACATGGTTCTCTCTGACAACAACCTCACTGGCCCTCTTCCTCCACAACAGTTCAAAGACTCCTTGGAGTTCCTCGATCTATCACGAAACAATTTCTCAGGTGAGCTGCCGGGGAACATTGGTAACGCTTCGGGAATCAAGGTTCTTATGTTATCAGGAAACAGTTTCTTTGGGTCCATTCCTAGCTCCGTGTCTTATCTGCAAAACCTACAACTGTTGGATTTATCAAATAACAGGTTTTCTGGTAACACCTTTCCTGCATTTGGTGATTCACTTGAACTTGTTAATCTATCATCCAATGAATTCACAGGTCAAATTCCCGTGACCTTCTCCGAGGAAACCAGAATTCTTATGTTAGGAAACAACAAATTCTCTGGGACATTGCCTCAAAATCTTACCAATTTGATCAAACTAGAACAACTTGATCTTCATGACAATAGAATTGCAGGGGAATTCCCGATCCTTGTAACTGAAATTTCAACACTCCAGATTTTGATCCTGAGAAACACATCCATTCGAGGTCCTCTACCAAACAACATATCCAAACTTAGCAACCTTCGAATTCTAGATCTGTCCCACAATAACCTTACGGGAGACATTCCAGAGGAATTAGGAAATGTTGCAAAAATGATTGACAAGACTACAGCAACTTCAATCCTGACATCATACATCATGGCCCCGTTCATAGTGGACTCCTCATTTCATGTCAATGACTTAATTCTAAGCTGGAAGAGATCAATGTTAGCACTGCCATCAGCTCCAGGATTTGATGATACCTATTCTTTGTTGGACCTATCAGTGAACCAACTTTCAGGTGAAATTCCGGATACGCTAGGTCATCTCAGGAGTCTAAAGATACTCAACATATCCTTCAACAGTGTCTCCGGAAGAATACCATACAGCTTCGGGGACCTAGAGAATCTGGAGGGGTTAGACCTTTCACATAATAATCTCTCTGGTGTAATCCCGCAATCGTTCACACACCTGCAACAACTCACTATTTTGGATGTAAGTAATAACCATCTTGAGGGTGCAATTCCTACAGGTGGCCAAATGGATAACATGAACAATCCAAACGATTTTGCAAACAATAGTGGGTTATGCGGGATGCAGATACGGTTGCCATGTGAAGCGGAAACACCGTCTTCGCCAACTACGGAACACAATGAGACGGAGGAGGAGAAGTCAAGCTTTTCATGGAAAGGAGCTTTAATTGGATTTCCAGTTGGATTTTGCCTCACCTTATTCATCATTTTTCTAACTGGTTGGTTCCAAGCAACTGGGTTTGGTCCTGTTGCTAGTAGGCCACGGAGAAGGACCGTGACAATTATCAAGTAGGCTGATAGAATCACCATCATCATAACCATTAATTTGGGTGGTGGAAATTTGTACATTCTTAAGCAAATTGATACCCGAAACAGCATATCGACCAAAACAAACTATAATTAATTAGAATCAGAAAATATAATATAAACCTACTGGAAACTGATACCAGAAAGAGCATACCAGAAAAACTGATACCAGAAATCAAAACTTGAAATAAAAAACCGCAATTCATGAGGTCTCTGCCCGAAAAACAATCACTGGGGATTTAGATACTAACTACTACTACAATAGACCCTCTTCCTAAGCCCTTTAAATACTAAAGATGAGGCACTAACAGAAACATAATGTAAATAAGAAAATTACCCTCTCAACTAAAATAGCATGAAATGTAAAAAGAGAATCTGACTGCTTGCATCCCTCTACTCTGAACCAATGTAAATCATGGATGAATCTCCGGATTAGTGCCGATCATCATTCCTTCGTCAGCTTCAGCTCTCTTAGACATAAGATGTGGTGATATCAAAATAGGCGAAGCTGGAAGCTTGAGCAGAAACCACTTATAATCGCCCACAAGAGCCAAATTGCGGTGGATGGACGAGGACGGATCAAGTAGTTCCGTACTCTGAGTTCGTACGTTGTACGATACCACTCCTGGCTCCAACGACATATTCAAATACAAGACATCTGGATCCCGTTGGTCGAATGATAGAAATGAAGAAGTACTAAGATTTATCCTGTTTTGATCTTCATGTCGTGCATCATCATCATCTTCATCTTTCATCCTGATTCTATGTTGGAGGCACCAGTGGTTGTCCTCTTGGAGTTCCCAAATCTTTAAAACTTTCCAACTTCCATTAAACATGCTTTTCAACTTTTCGAAATACTTGAGTCGTCCTTGATAAACACCACAAGTGGAATAGTCTCCAACAAGCCCCCTTGTTGAGTACCCGCGGCTTGGAGGTTCAATTACACGATGATGGTTCGAGTAAGGATCATAAGCCAAGATTCCTCCATTAATGGGGTCGGTCCAATAAACAGTATTGTTCAGAACAACAGATCTATGCCAACGATAAAACATATATGGACGTCCGACTTGCAATCGAACGGACGCCCATTCCCCTGTTTCTGAAGAAAAAACCTGGATATCAACGTAATCCGGAACGAAAGTGCCAACGATATTTTCAACCGTAGACTCGATCATAGCGACTCTGTAACTAGACAGAGATCTTCCAGATTCATCCAATTGGGTCACAAAACCCACACTTTCTACGACAAAGGGTTTAGGAGGGGAGACAGGGAGGCTAAACCATTGGTGGGTGATAGCACTGCAGATGAAAAATTGACCCTTGCATCTGTCCTGTTTGACACCGGGATCAACTGGATCCACAGAGCCCACCAAAAGAAAGCCCTTGTCGTCTGCAACCGTATAGATTGTCCTTTCTCTTGAGACCTGAAAAAATCATCCATAAAATCGTATGGCCCTCGCCTCGGTGTTGATGGTACTTGAGGGATCGGTAAAGTAAAAAAGTGACGCTCTGGATATTTCAGGGCAGCCACATCTTCTTGGTTCATCTGCCCTCCTCGGACTTGCACTCTCGTCGGAAATAACACATATCGGTCACGCTCTGACGAGCCGTTGCCAATGCCTCCGGCCCCGGAGGCGGTAAGATTGCTGGTTCTTTCAATTTCCATATCCGATACTGTCCAAAGAAGAGATTCTGGTAGCTGAATTAAAAACCTAGCCGCAGGTCTGCCTAATTATTTGGATGTATTCGGGAATCGGGGGTTTCTTGCCTCTTTAGATTTTCTTGGGTTTGGATTTTACGAAGTTTTTTTTTATACATATATATTGAGGAGACGAAACCCATAAAAATTTACAAAGTGAACCGTGTTTTACATCATAGTTTAATCTATTGATTACACTTCTTCACTAGAACACTCAGAGGCAATGACATGTATTGTTGTTTTGAGGAAAGCGCATCAAATGGGTTTGACAAATTGCCAGCTACAAACTGACAACAAGATCTTGGTCCGTCTCAAGAAGATCAAAATTCCCTTACCACCTTCTGAGTATAGGAGAGGATATTGTATCTTGTTAGATCTTATTCAAACAATAATTGTATTAAAATTAGTAGAGATATTGTAGAAAACGCCAATAGAATGGCTAAGGTGACACTAGTGTCTGACCTATAGTTTGTAACCTTTTTTATGCATTTGCTTTATAAACGGATGTTACAAAAAAAAAGTCTATTGACTAGTACACCACTAGGGACTTCCGTCCTTTGTCCAATCTCTCACAAAAAAAGTCCAACCGTGGCCATTGATTTTCTAGTCCAAAACTACCCTAGCTCTCTTCGTCCTTTCGCGCGTAAGAGCATTTTCTCCACAATTTTCAGTGCCTTAAGACAACCAAAAATGATTTTTGAGAACAATACACTTCCTTTTCTATATGGAAATATTGTGACAAATCCATCCAGAAAGGTTTTCACTATTTAAGATATAATTTTGGGGATTATCCTGTGGTAATAGGAGTTTAGGAGCTTCCTCTCCATCTCCAAGTCGGAGATGCGTACCTCTTCCGTTTTGAGAAGGTGCTCCTCCATGATTTGATTTCCCGCATCATCTTCAAAGTCTTTTATGACATTCATCGTCAGATCTATCTTCTTCTTTTTACTCCCTTTCACTTTAGATTTGATATTGAAAGTCTTGGTTGTGTCGGGTGGTTTCCTATCAGTGTGTGAGGGCCGCGTGTTTTTTGTCCGATGGTTTAAGCCGAGATGATGTATATGAACCACGGTATGGTTTTGGCTATTGAGGATTTGGCTTACTTCAGATTGACTTGTGATATCTTCATTTATCAACGTTTTCACTATTGATTTTGGCTCTTGTATTTTCTTTGATGGTTCACCATATATAGTACATTTGTCTAATGATGAATACAATTTAATTATGAAATGAAAAATTAATAAAACCATAATGAAATTGCTTCAATCCCTCTCATCATTTAATTTCTCACATCATACTTTCAAATACAAAAGAAACAATGTTCCAATATTTTCGGTAACTCTCTTATATTCGTAATTATTAATGTAGTTTGTAAATTAGGTGCAATTTAAATCTAATAAAAATCATGAAATTTTGATTATTTGTCATGAAAAATATTATTATAATTTATGAATTTTTTATAGAATGAGAATAAACTATGAAAAAAAGAATTCTATTTTATTAATATTTTTATTTGCTTTGTATGGAAATTTTCATAATTCTCATGAACATTATTTTATATGGGTATGAATATGGTCTTTAGACTTATTATTTACATTATTTTATATATATATATATGTTATGAAAAGTATGATCGTTATTCACAAATATTTTATAAAAGTGTTTTAACATTTATCGCACACATGATTAATTTATTGAAATTTCTTCAATTTGTGTGAATATTTCGTATAATTTTTATGAATAGTCGTGGTGTATGTATGAATAGAAGATATAATAGATAACAACCTTTTATTTGGGATTATGTGTACAATTTTTTTAATCAAAAGTTATGAATTTTATATATATAATGTTTGATACGAAAAGGTTATTATCAATTTATCATTCATGAATTTTATATTGTATGATTATGAAACTTAAGATTTTATATGAATAAAATTATATTAATTCATTAATATTTATTTATTTTTGAACTTTGTAATCACTTTTGACTTGGATAGAAGATGTATTAATATTAAATGTGGGAACAGGATTAACTAATTTAATTAACTAATTATTCATTCAATAGATTTCATTAATTAGACCAGTGCGTTAAGAATCATGCAAGTGACTGTATCATTTGCATTGACTCATTCACTCATTCAAGTCATGGTATAATTGACTTATTGTGCTTGACTTTCCTGCCTAGAAAGCAACTTCGCAAAATCTACATGATCCTCCGAAAGGCCAAAGCAGGGGGGAAATTATCAAACAAAGCCCGGGCTACCCCAAATTAGACCGAATTCACTAAAATTTTCAAAGCAACCATCATTTTTCTATATAAGCGGTATGAAGTATTTATTATCAAGCAAGCAATCTTTGAAAGCGATCTTCCTGCTTGAATCAGGATTAATCAAGAAAATGGTTATAATTTTTTGTAAGACAAAAAAAAAAAAAAAAAAAAAAAGTCCTCTGGAGATCCCGTCTCAATCACCATGCACCTTACTCCATGCAGAAATGAACAAAAAAACCAACTTTACACTCTTCCAAAGTCAAATAATTTGAAAAATTGGGAAATATAGTATATTATACTTTACCTGAATGATTGAAAACTATATGTAGACTTATTAAGGACCGAGTCTCATTCATCATGTCAATTCATTTTTCTCTGGACGGCAAAATCCCCTCTTATATTCTACTACAAATGCATATATTATGTTTCTTTTGTAATTCCTTCTATTCACACAAAGTGAGTTAAGGCACGAAATCAATTAATCGCACTTGTGTTCATCATCATGGCTGTCAGATTCAGGAACCTCTTTGGACTCTTCATCATCTTCTTTCTATCCTTTTTTCCAACTTCTTCCTCTTGTCCTGATCATCAAAAGCAGCTGCTCCTGCAATTTAAGTTGCTCTTCCTCAAAGGTAACACAAACATTAGCTTATTAGAATCATGGAACTCTACTTCCCACGATTGTTGTCGTTGGGATAGAGTCATTTGCACCTCTGCATCCCCGTTTATGATTGTTGAATTGCACCTTAATTCCTTACCACGGATTCTCCCAAATTTTTTTGGGATTTCTCCCTCTGTTTTGGCTCCCCTTTTTCATATATCTTCCTTAATGCAGCTCGACATCTCGGGCAATTTCTTTCAAGGTGAAATTCCAGCTCAAGGTTTGGCCAATCTCACTAATTTGGTCTATCTTGACATGAGTTCTAACTCATTCAATGCTACCATTCCCACACAGCTTTATCACTTGAATAACCTCAGCTATCTGTCGCTCTCGTTTAATAGGCTGTCGGGTTCTTTGGGTCCTGATATTCAATACCTGAAAAGCCTCATCAGGTTGGATTTGAGCTTCAATGCTCTTGGTGGGAATATCCCTATGGAGATTGGAAACCTCATCAAACTGGAACATCTAGACCTTAGCTTCAATGTCTTCTTCTCTGGTGGAATTCCCGTGTCATTTTTGAACTTGACACAACTTCAGGTCCTGGATTTGACTGGTAATCAGTTTTCCCTACAGATTCCAGCTGACATTGGATACTTGCCTAATCTATCTACTTTGAGGTTGAGCAACAACAAGTTAGCTGGTGAAATTCCACTGTCATTGTTCAATTCGACGCAACTTCAAGTCTTGGATTTGAGCCATAATCAACTTTCATCGCAGATTCCAACACATATTGAATGGTTGCCAAACTTGTCTAAATTGATTTTGACCAACAACATGTTGACTGGTGGAATTCCCCAGTCCGTACAAAATCTAAGCAACTTAGAGACACTTTATCTTGAAGACAACTTACTGACAGGAGAGATACCGTCTTGGTTGTTTGATATTAAGACACTGAAGAATCTGTTTCTTGGAGGGAATAAATTGGCCTGGAAATACAATAACTCCGTAATAGAACCTAAGTGCATGCTGTCCTTCTTGTCTCTGAGATCATGTGGTTTATCAGGAGAAGTGCCGCAATGGATTTCATCCCAGAATGGTCTCCAATATTTGGATTTGAGCGAGAATGCACTACAAGGAACATTTCCACTTTGGATGGCGGAAATGCAACTCGTTTATCTGGTTCTTTCGGGCAACAATTTCACCGGTTCTCTTCCTCCTCAACCCTTCAAAGACTCCTTGGCGTTCCTTGATTTATCGCGAAACAATTTCTCAGGTGAGTTACCAGAGAACATTGGTAATGCCACGGGTATTAAGGTTCTCATGCTGTCTAGTAACAACTTCTTTGGGCCCATTCCTAGCTCAATGTCTTATCTGCAAAACCTACAACTGTTGGATTTATCAAATAATCAGTTTTCCGGCAACACTTTTCCGGTTTTTGGTGATTCACTTGAACTTGTTAATTTATCATCCAATGAATTCTCTGGTGAAGTTCCAGTGAGTTTCTCCAATAAAACCAGAATTCTTATTTTAGGTAACAATAGATTCTCAGGAACATTGCCTCGGAATCTAACAAATTTGATCAAACTTGAACAACTTGATCTTCATGACAACAGGATTGCAGCAGAATTCCCTAATCTTCTTACTGAAATTTCAACACTTCAGATATTGAGTCTAAGAAACACATCCCTTCAAGGTCCTCTACCGAACAACATATCCAACCTTGGAAGCCTCCGAATTCTTGATCTGTCCCATAATAACCTTACAGGAACCATTCCAGATGAGCTTGGAAACCTTGCTAAAATGATCGAAAAGGCTAAACCAAATTCAATCCTGACATCATACGCCATGGCGCCTTTCATAGCTGCTTCCTCATTTCATGTCACGGATTTGATTGTAAGTTGGAAGAGATCAATGTTAGCATTGCCATCAGCTCCAGGCCATGATGATATCTATTCTTTGCTGGACATGTCGGTGAACCGATTCTCAGGTGAAATTCCGGCATCTCTAGGTAACCTCAAAGGCTTGAAAATACTCAACATATCTTTCAATAGTGTATCCGGAAAAATACCATTCAGCTTTGGAGGCCTGGAGAACCTTGAAAGCTTGGACCTGTCACATAATAATCTCTCTGGTGCAATCCCACAATCATTCAACAACCTGCAACAACTCACAACATTGGATGTGAGTGACAATCACCTTGAGGGTGCAATTCCAACGGGTGGCCAAATGGATCGGATGAACAATCCGAGCGATTTTGCAAACAATAGTGGGTTATGCGGGATGCAAATACGTTTACCATGTGAGGCGGAGATACCGTCTTCGCCAACTACAGGACAGAATGAGACAGAGGAGGAGTCAAGCTTTTCAGGGACAGGAGCTTTGATAGGATTTCCAGTTGGGTTTTGCCTCACCCTGTTGATTGTATTTCTAACCGGTTGGTTCCAAGCAACTACAGAAGTTGGCTCAGTTCGCACTCGGCGCCGCCAGAGAGGGACTACTGCGCCAAGTAGGAACAGAGGCAGATAGAATTTAAATTAGAATAACCACCAACATAACCTTATAATATGATAAAAGGTTTGAAATCTAAAATTGTTGTTTATACGGTCAAAAAATCCATAGTGGGTCATTTTGTGACTGGTTTGATTTGTTTGTGATATCTTGTATAGAGCTTTGCATACAGCGAACGCAAGCTCTACAAGTTGTACAGAGGTTGCATTCAGAGTATGCGACCTCTGTGTTGTCTTGTAGTTCCTTTTCTGGTACGATAATTCTGAGGAACAGCTTGAAATATTTTCTTAATTTCCGCAAAGTTGGACTAAATTAAGATACAATGGGCTGCTGCTCATTTGGATTCATTCTGCCTTACGCCATTTAGAATTGCAGAGTGTCCATTTATTACAAGATAACATTATATATTTATAAAAATCGCCTTCTAATAGTTTGGAATGTAGAAACCTTGAAGCATATTTATATTTTATTTTATAGTAGTATTACTCAAATGTCTCTTAAATGACTGACCTAATTTTCAACAATGATCGTATTTTTCTTAACTAATAAATCAATTCCGAAAGAACAGCTGGTTTAGAAGTTAATTAATTAATGAACAGTGCCCTCCAAAAGGTAACTAAAAAAAAATTAGCGGCTTCCTCCCTTAAAATCAGCCCCATGACTAATGTATCTAACGTTCATCTAATCATCTCCTTCCCTTCTTGCAAAACCCCGCCGTTTCGAAGCAACAAAGTCGGTTGTTTTTGGAATTTTGGTCCTTTCCAGCTGCGGCACTGTCTCATTGAAACCCTCGCTATAAAATAAAAATACAGCAGAAAAAAAACACGCAGTCACGCACTGGCAGTCTGTGTCAACCAACTCCTCTCATATTTTTCATATTTTTGAGCAGCACACAATCTAACTTTGTAATAAAAGTATTAGTATTATAGTGTGTGTCTGACTCTTTTGACGGAAACGGAATGTTCAATAGCCCATTTTCCCCAACTTCCTTGTTCTTCAAGTAAAAATCATATTGCATCTCATAAAATATAGTATCAGCAAATCCGCTCCGATATCGCGGGACACCACCCTCGCCGCCATCACCGCCATCGTTTGTCTTCTCCATTTCGAGACCTTTACCCTTCTACTTACAGAGTAATGTTCTTTACGCCATTGCTTATTTGTTTTTACTATACTAGCTGAAATTTCATCATCTATTACTGATCTTTACAGTTGCATATTTTCTGATGTGATTTGATTCTAGAACCGAATCAGTTTTTGTAATGGGGTGTCTTTTCGTTAAAGGTTGAAAGCTAGAATCTTTCATCCATCTCTGTGGGGCTTTGATGTTTGTAGCCAAAATAAGTAATATTATGTGCTCGGTGATCGATCTAATCTAAGAAGCCTCTTTGGTGTGTGAATTGTGCATTTCCATTCTTCTAAATTTCTCCAACTTAGATTTGGAGCCGCTAGAAAAGACAGCCATAATTAGCCTCGTTGATTTTGTTTCAATTCATTAATAGTATAATATAACTTGTGCTTCGTTGCTGTTTAATAGTATAATATAGTATATCAGATTTCTTTGAATTGACTGACAGCAAGAGTTTATAATACGTGTGCTCTGGTTTTTATTGTTGCATTCCTAGCTTCTTGGACTATTATTCATTTTCAGCTTATTACAAAGTAGTTTCTTTGAATATGCCATCAATTAGTTAATTCTATTCTTTGTACTTTGCACGATGGATCTTAGGATCTATCGTGGTATTGGTGAAGAAATTGAGGCATTCCCTCTTTCTTGGAACTCAAGAACGTTCTAATATATGCCTTTTGAAGTAACTACGTATAGGAAAGGTGTAGGTTGCATATTAGATTGGCTTTTTCAGAGCAAATATCTGACTTGATAAAGCCTTATTTATTACAGCTTAGCTTTCTGTGGAAGTTTTGAACCAGGACTCCGATTCCAGCTTCATTTGCTTTTGACTGCAAAATCTTCAGGGTACCAGCCACTCTGACTGATTCTCAAATATGGCACTGGCCAGGTTCTCAAGGAGTGGATTGAGACGATCCATCATTCAAAATTATGCTGCTGAAAGGAATGTAGGACGTCTGGAGGCGTCTGCTCATGAGTCCCCTTCAGCTTACTTGGGAAGTATTGCGACAGGTGCTGATGATCTCTTGTACCTCCCGACCACCAGGAAGGTAGATTACTCAAGTTTGTGGAGCAGAGGAATAAGAACGACCCCTCAACTTCAATTTGCTCAGGCACAGAGAGTTCTGGAAGATTCTGATTCAGAGTATGAAAGCACCAGGTATCCCACTCTGGAAGCGACAAGACCTGGTGAAAAGCCTAGAGTTGCTGTCATTGGCTCCGGGTGGGCTGCATGCAGATTTCTCAAAGGGATTGACACCAATATATATGATGTTGTTTGCATATCACCAAGAAATCATATGGTTTTCACTCCTCTACTGGCATCAACATGTGTTGGTACCTTGGAATTTCGTTCAGTTGCTGAGCCTGTCAGCCAGATACAGAAAGCCCTTGCAAAGGACCCGAATTCATATTTCTTTCTGGCTTCCTGCAAGGGAATCGACACAGATAAACATGAGGTATGTTTTTCTCACGCATTCTGTACTTCATCTTGTTAAGAATATGTTATCAATGGATGTAACAATCATATATAGGCAGACATTATGAGATGCACAGTATGAAGTTAATGTATGTGAGAGATATTTACTTTGTTGTTTGCGTCAGACTATCATTTTAAATAAGCCATCCAAGTCACAGGATAGCTGTTGTGAGATCAGTAAATGTAATGTTCCGGAAGTTAATTTGAATCAGAATGATGTTCTTCTAATTTCTAAGCTTCACAGCAATTAGCTGTGTTCTCTGTGTACTTTTGAGTTATTTCATGTCCTTCTAATGTACTCCATGTGATTTGTACTATATTAGGTTTTTTGTGAAGCGGCTCTAGATGGTGGACAGCAGAATAATGGTTACCAGTTCAAAGTGGCCTATGACAAGCTTGTTATTGCTACTGGAGCTGAGCCCCTGACCTTTGGCATCAAGGGGGTTCAGGAAAATGCTTTTTTCCTTCGAGAAGTGAATCATGCGCAAGAGATCAGGAAGAGGCTTCTGATGAACCTGATGCTCTCTCAAAACCCAGGTAATGTGGATCCCCTCATGGTCCTCACCCGCGTTAAACATCCAAAAAGATAAGTTACTTTATATTTTTGTGTATATGTTAAATCCTAGATGTTAGTTTTTCCTGTTGTCTTCTACACATATCACTGCCTGCTTTCTTCTGTTTTCTTTCGCTAATCTTTCTGAGCTAAAATTTGGTATATTTGTCTACATAAACATAACAGTTGTGTCTTGAATAACAGAGCTTTTCACCATAGCTGTACTAATTCGGAACACACGCACTCTACTAGCTCCTTTTATTAATGTCTAACAAATTTCTCCTCGCTTCTAATTGGTAAATAGATCTCTTGTTATTTTTCTGATAAATACAATATCAAAATTTATGAACTTAATAACTACTCCTGGTTAAGCATCAGCTGAAGGATGGCGGTGCTACCTTTCATAGTCATAACAGTTACCTTTGAATTACTGAAAAAGAAGAAAACTTGATATGAACTTGAACTTGCTTTCTCAATGCCAGGCATAACAGAAGAAGAAAAGGAGCGCCTTTTACATTGTGTTGTTATTGGGGGTGGTCCTACCGGTGTGGAGTTTAGTGGTGAATTGAGTGATTTCATCATGAGAGATGTCCGGGAGCGATATGCCCATGTAAAAAACTATATTCGCGTTACCCTCATTGAGGTAATAAGATTCTCCATTTTTCATTAATCATTTGTTTAAGTGAATCTTTGGTTGAACAATGCCTTCTCTTGATTTGTCAATAGGCAAACGAGATATTGTCATCATTTGATGTTGGATTGCGGCAATATGCGACAAAGCACTTGACGAAGGTAGGTAGCTTTTCATTCCTTCTCCTGAATAACATTCAGCCTTTTTCCTATTTGCAATGTGAAGTATTTCTAATTTCGAGCAGTATGGAGTCCGCCTTGTAAGAGGTGTTGTGAAGGAGGTGCACCCAGAGAAGATAGTTCTCAGTGATGGAAGTGATGTTCCATATGGTCTACTTGTCTGGTCTACTGGAGTTGGTCCTTCTGAGTTTGTGAAGTCAATGCATCTTCCCAAATCTCCAGGTGGAAGGTATGTGAGCTTGCATTTGTCTTGCATCAATATTTGAACTCTTTAATTCAAAAGCCTTTGTTTCTTTTCAGAGTTTGTAGGCCCTAAAATTTTGAATTTATTTCTTTTCAGAATTGGTATTGATGAGTGGTTGCGAGTTCCATCTGTTGAAGATGTGTTTGCACTTGGAGATTGCGCTGGTTTTCTTGAACAAACAGGGAAACCAGTACTTCCAGCATTAGCTCAGGTTAGCTCTTCACAGCTTTTGCTTTTTATATGTCATGTGTTGCCTTTTGTTTTCTTACTACTCATGTCAATTTCTAGGAGTAGAATCCTTTTGAGCTGCCTAAGCCTCTAATCTAATATGCACATTGCTATATTAAAAAAGCAATATACATGAAGGCACACATGTTGAAATCTTGAAAGAATAGAAGAGTGTGCTTCCAACTGATTGGGTACTGAAGTCTTGATTGCTAACCCGTTATTCAAGATTCTGGATATGTCTTAAGCTATTTCACAAATCTGTTGTTAGGTGGCTGAAAGGGAAGGCAAATATCTTGTTGCTTTGTTCAACAAAATTGGCAAGGAGAGTGGGGGAAAGGCGCTTTGTATGAAAGACATTCCTCTTGGGGAGCCCTTTGTGTACAAGCATCTTGGAAGCATGGCATCCGTTGGTCGGTACAAGGCGTTGGTTGATCTCGCCCAGTCTAAGGTACCTAGTATCTTCTTGAGATCCATGTTCCTACTAACATGACCTATGTTCATGGACAGGTATCAAAGACAAAATTTTAATGTATGGAAGTCAGACAGAATCTAATTCAAGGGATGTCAATAATCCGTTAATTACTAATGAACTTATCACTGGTGAAAAATTTAGCCCTTGAAATGATCAACAAGATAACAACCATGCCTTACATTTCCACTCCCTGGAACCTCTTGAACCAGTTCCATGTTTACCACAGACAAGTGTGTTTTTACTCCAGCTTTTAACTGTAGTTCAATAGACCATTGGTAGAAGTAACCATCTGCATAGTTTGGATACAATGAGGCTCCTTGTAATGTTTGGTACTCTATATAGTTAGTGACTGACATTGTTCCGGGATGGCGAATTTGGCAGGAAGAGAAGGGCATAGCAATGGCAGGATTTCTGAGCTGGATCATTTGGCGGTCGGCATACCTTACTCGGGTTCTAAGTTGGAGGAACAGATTTTACGTGGCAGTAAACTGGGCTACTACATTAGTTTTCGGCAGAGACAATTCCAGAATAGGATGAAGTAGTTTCCAGTTTCTGGGCAGAGAAAATTATCTCCCTGCCACTCATATCATAACCTCTTTGCCTAAGCACTGGTTGTTGAATCTATCGATCTAACGTTGGTGTAGAATCGAAGCTAGAGGATTCAGGGAATTTTGGTTAGAAAAAAATAGGCTACGAACTTCAAAAATCAAACACTGAAATGCATCGATTTTCTATTATTGCAGATGATTTTTTGGGACTAAAGATTACACTGATTCATTCTTTGAACCGAATTTTCACAAGGTTCATTCTGTTTTTTTTTTCATTGTTTGAATACGATTTTCCTCGACAGTGGGTTTTCTTTTAGGGAAAAAAAATACAGTAAAAATTTATTACTGGGCAAAAAAGAGGGGGGACCTAACAGGTTAACACAGAGCCTTTTATTATCAGATGGATAATGATTGGTACAAGGAAAAAATGACAAAAAAATGATGTCACTCGTCCGTTATTAAAACTTTTCAAAGAGGGTTTATGCATTTAAGGTTAGGACATACCTAAGATTTTAACAAATCATTCTTTATCATTTTTTCCTTATACCTATTAATACTCTTATCAGATTAGAGTAATAACCAATGGAATTAGATTTTACAATTTCTCCAAATAATAGGAGACAAAAGGAAAAAATGTCGTTCCTACCCAAAGGTTTGCACTCGTCGTCAATCATATCTAATAGATTTTCGGTTATCCAACTTTACCCTAATCTTTGAAATTTTAGCCAATTTCGTCCAATCAGCCCATTTTCCGTCCAAATAAACGGATCTTCGTTATTTTTTTAATAATAATAAATTTAAATGTAAAAACACCCTAGTAGTTTTTAAAAATTTTAAAAAATAACCCTTAAAACATATAAAAATAACAAAATAATCCCTTTTCACTTTTTTATTTCATTTTTCTCTATTTTGTTCCTTTTCTCTCAACAAATTTTAATGGGGGCAACATACAATCAAGGACGGCTCAAGTATTTCGAAAAGTTGAGAAGCTTGTGTGATGGAAGTTGGAAAGTTTTAAAGATATGGCAACTCCAAGTGGATGACCACTGGTGCCTGCAACATACAATCAAGATGGAAGAGGTTGTTGTTTCTTCGCCTGCTATCAATAGTGATAATTTTAACCTTGCTGTATTTCTATCATTCGATCAATTGGATCCAGATATTGTCTATTTGAATATGCCCGACAATATAGGAGTGGCGTCTTGCAACGTACGAACTAAGAATATGGAACTAATTGATCCAGGGTCAGGTCATTCATAAAAGGCGATTTTGCTACTATATGTGATTATCGGTGGTTTCTTCTGAAGCTTCCAACTTGGCCCAATTTCATTTCGCCTCATCTGATGCGCGAGAGAGCAAATGAATGATGATTGATGATCCATGATGATTCACGGTTGAGGGTTGTATATGGTCATGGTTGTCGTGACTGGAGAGGTTACATTTTACATTATGATTCAAAGTGTTGAGTTTCTTTTCGCATCCATATTAACTATAAGGAAGTATTTTAGGAGTAAGGAAGTCAAGTTAATTGATAGCGGTAAGGAAGTCGTAATTCTGATCGGTGTTGAATGTACTCATTAAGTAACTCCGGAATTTAGTTTCCTTCTCTGTTAGTTTCTGAGGATGCAACTATGCATCTTGTGCAGTCTATTGTTTAGTATGGACGTAGATGATAAACCTGGTATCTATCTAATTCTAAGTAGGCTGTTGTATACTGAAAGAGAGAAACTTTCTGTTACAGCAAAGCCAATTTGTTCGTGTTCTGATTTTGCCGGGTTGAAGATGATTATATTGGAAGTTGTTGGCAGATCTCTTAGTGGTATTTTCTGTCTATGTTTCTGCATTGATACACACTTGAAGGATATTCAATTGGCTTCTCTGGTACACACTGCAAGGATAACATGTAAAATTTCCGCTTATTAGAAGTAGATGTATCAGTGATAGAAACTACAAAGTCAATTACTCTTTTAACACTTTATACCCTATGCTTCCCGAAATGCTTCAAATAGGATAATCGTTTTGGAATAGATTAGGAAGCCTAATCTGAATGTATTTTGTCCAATGTAAAAAGGCCCTTTTTGCAATCAAGAACAGGGTAGTTTAGATTAATGGTCCTTCGGGTCAGTTAGTTGCTCAGTCATATGTTACATCGCTCAATCCACTGTTTAAATTTAAAAACAAGACCAAAGAGGGATTGTTTCTTTTGAAGCTTCCACCTTGGCCGATTTTGATTCCTCCTTATCTTACGTCTAAGAGGTGATTTTATCATAGGCTCTTAGAGCAGAAATGGAATTTAAGTTGTGTGTCAACTTTATTAGTTACTAGTTATAAGCTTGCATTGTCAATGTTTTGGAAGATACGTAACTCTTTGATGTCTTTGATAATTTTTGCTCAACGGGATGTTGCGAGATATTGGATGTTATTGTGTTCTGCTGCATTGCTGATAATTTGTGAATGAGATTTTTCTTTATTGAGAAACCATTATGGAATTGCAGTGCTGAACAAAAATAAACTAGTATCTAAATAAGGCTGTTGAACGCTGAAGAATAAAAATTAGCCTATTTGTCCTCATCTAATCTTAACGGGGGTGAATGAATTAGTAGAAAATTCTCTTTTAGTGGTGGCGGGACATTGATTCATTCCTGCAATCGAACTTGTATACCTTCAAATCATTCGCTGCATTCTGTAGGGTACAACTGAAGCAAACGAGAGTTTTGGTGCTCTTTTGGACCATGTTCTAGCTTCTTTTAGATCACCGGTTTACTTTGATCCGATGTCAAGTCGCTAGACTCTCTGATTAATCTTCTGGAAAAGGGCAATTTGCAAACAAAAAGAAGGGGATTGGAAATAGATTGTCCTCCTGCCAGTTCAGTTTGCTTAATCATATTGTTTCATCGCACCATATCTGATCAGCAAACGAAAACCCACTGTTTATATATATTAGAAAAACCAGATCAAAAAAGGTAAAATTCATTAGATTACATCAGACATTTGTCACATTCAATTGAATAAACCCACTGTTTATTCATACTAGAAACTGTTGCCTCTTTTGATGTATTTTGTGGGTTGTAACCGAACCAAACAAAGATTTCTTCCATCTCTTTTTGGAGCATTTTATAGCTTCTCTCATAGCTTTATCACAATATCAGAGTATTTTGATGCTACTGTTAATGCTTATTCCTCTGCGAAAATGGCCGTTTCGCAAACAAGAAAAAACAGGATTGGAGTTGGATATTCTTGTCGGTTCAGTTGCTCAATTATACTTCCTCACTCCACCCTTCTATATGAATTCGAAAACCAGATCATAAAAGTGTCAAGATTCACTAAAATACATCAATTTGCGAACGATCCGGAACTAGCTGACAAAGAGACGAGAAAGATAAAAATATATGCTGAGTAATTATTTGTTAAATGACAGTGTAGAGATTAGCTATAAATTTTGCTTCTTAAGCACAATGAATAGTTTCTATTTGTGCCTGATTTTGGGGGCTATAGGGTAGGTTGATTCATTTTTTCAATTGAAATATATGTACAAGGTTCAATTAGAAACTAGTCCAGGAAGATTAATACCACACTATTTCCTCTTTTGATGTGTTGTGCTTGCGTAGGATACAATACTGGAGCAAACAAGATTCCTGGCATTTTTTTTTGGAGTATTTTATACCTTCTTCTTTTTTGTTTATAATACCATCGTATATATTATTCATCCGAGGCTGATGGATCCTGGGAATTTTTACGGATATGGGAGCTCCAAGACAATAGCCGCTGGCGCCTTCAACATACAATCAGGATGAAAGATGTACTGATGAAAGATGTCCAGTCATTCGATGGATTGGAACCAGATGATGATGATGAAGGATCTTCTTTTTCGGACGATGACGAGTACGAGAACCATTATCTCCACACTGCAGCATTTCTATCATTCCATCAATTGGATCCAAATATTTTTTATTTGAATACGTCAGCTGATATAGGAGTGGCGGCTTGCAATATACGGACCAAGCGTACAGAACTAATTGATCCACGGTCATTCCTGAAAGGTGATTTTTCTACTGTAAATGATTATCGATGGTTTCTTCTGAAGCTTCCACCTCTCTGTTCGTCAATTTGTTACTGAAAACCAATGTTCCGTTGAATTTGATCCTTTTAGTTTTTCTGTGAAGGATCTCTGGGCGAGGATCCCTCATTTACATTGCAATAGCACTGGGTTCCTTTATACTTTTCCTTCTACCTTGCTACATCAGTCTCTTGCACCATCTTTCTTGTCATGTCCGGCGTTTGCTGCTCCAGTATCTTCCCAAGTGTGGCATCAACGTCTTGGTCACTCGCACTCTTCTGTCTTGTTCAGTTTAGTGTCCCGTCAGAGTCTTCCTGGTTCGGTGGTTTGGTCCAATAAGCTTTACATGTGTCAAGCATGCCAAATTGGAAAGCATCATAAGCTTCCTTTTCAGTCTTCGTCGTCTGTCACTTACAGTCCTTTTGATATTATTCATACTGATGGCTGGACTTCTCTTTGTCTTTCCTTTAGTAGTTTTAAATATTTTTTTCTATTTCTAGATGATTTTACTCATTACCTATGGGTGTATCCTCTCAAAAATAAATCTGAAGTTCCTCAAAAGTTTGTTGAATTTTATAATCTTGTTCAAACTCAATTCCATTCTTCTATTAAAATACTTCAATCAGATGGTGCTGCTGAATATGTTCGTTCTCAATCTCTTTAAACCTTTCTTAAATCAAAGGGGGTCGCAATGCGAGTCTCTTGTCCATACACTCCCCAACAAAATGGGAAGACTGAACAGATGAATAAAACTATTCTTAACATGGTCCGTACTCTTCTTCATCAAGCCCAATTACCAAATGAATTCTGGGTCGAAGCATTAACCACTTGTGTTTATCTCTTAAACCGGCTGCCTACTACATCTGAGTTCGGAGCTGTCCCTTTCTCACTTCTCTTTGGCCATCCACCTAATTATGGGATACCTAAGGTTTTTGGTTACTCTTGTTTTCCAAATCTCTCTCATTTAGCATCTCATAAACTTAGTCCTCGTTCAATTCCTTGTGTGTTTCTTGGTTATCCAGAATCATATAAGGGTTATCGTTGCTTTGATCCAGTCTCTCGAAAAGTCTGCATTTCTCGTCATGTCATTTTTTATGAAACTTCGTTTCCTTTTCCTACACTATCCTCTTCGATTCAGCCCCTTCCTACCTCGG